CTGCAACTAAGGCTCTGCCAACACCTGCCTGCTGCAAAGGGGAGATGTGCTTATTCCTCACCTGTGCTGTTGGCTGCAGGGCTCTCCACAGCTGCCTCAAATGATGCCAGGCAAGATGCCCCTTGGCATGGGCCAGGGGAACTGAAGGATTTAGAAAAATACTTCAAGGTACACGTCAAGCATTTAAAATGCTGTCTGCATGTTGGCCTGCTGGCTGCCTGTGAGTGCGAGGGTGTGTGATCCTTACTGTAGGATTACCCTCAGGCTGTCAGCTGCTGGGCTGGCTTGGCTTTAATTTAATTATTTCAAAGGGAGATAATGTTTAAAGGCTACTGAAGTTGAAACAGTGGAAAGGAAGGTAAAGGATATCCAACCAAATACATAAGAAAAGGGATATGACAGCCCTGAGTGCGTAGCTCTTGCGATTGGCTAGCCACTCCCTGGTGTAAATTAATTCCCTGGTGTAAATGCATTCACATGTGCTGGAGAGAGGCCTGGCTGCCTAGGTAAGATGCATTCTGTGTGCTGCAGTTTTGTTATGACAGCTAGAAAGAAACATTGGTTTGTTTTTCTCCATGCAGAAGCCTAACAGTGGATTTCAGCTAGGTCTTGTTGGGTAACTTGGGTTCCCCTATCAGAAAGGTACACTTTCAAATTTAAATCAGATGTGCGTGCAAAGAAAGAGACAGAGAGATTTCTGCTTTCTGAGGTAGTTTGTATTTGCTGCCTGTTTATTGGTGTGCCATCTCCAGTTTGTAAGCAATATCTGTTAGGTTGCAGTTGGCTGAATATTTTTATTTGCTATTTTAAAAGTGGTTGTTCCAAGATACAAATTCTAGTGGAGAGAGAACTTCCTCTTTCTGGATAGAAATGAGTACCCAGAGCAGGATGCTGAGTGGAGATGTACACAGAGATGCACTGTGTGGTGGCTGGAAATGCCACCTGCCAGGACAGCAAGAGGTAGCTTTTACTCTTGATTATGTTTTGGGAGGATATTTGAAACTGACATGCTGGGTATGGATTAAGGTTGCTGGGATTGTTCCTGGGAAGCAGTTTATTCTGCTGGCTCTCAAGGGACCCCATCAACTCTGACAGACAGCAAAGTCACTGCTCTGTTTTGGGACATGAACTGTGGTGTTCGCTGTGACTGCCCAGCTACAGGTGGTTTCTGTAAAAGCCCTGGTCCTTCAAAAGTTTATTTTCCTACAGGAAGAGGTGGGTATCTCTCTACATCCTCTTAATCTTTCCTTTCCCTTCAATGACATGAGATCTGATAGCCAGCAAAAGGCTGTGTGTGTGTTTCCAATAATCACATTTTTAAATGAATAACCAGATAACAAGGTAATTTCCATGCTGTTTCAGCAGCGATAATTGTGTCTCCTCCTATAATTTAACTACACAAGGCCCCAAATATGAATATAAAAGGTTCCATACTGCCCTGTGCAGTGTGCTGGCATACAATGTGGCTTCATGAAAGGAAATGAAATCTTGAAATCAGGGAACAAAATGAGCAGAACACAAAGGAGATGAATTATGATGAAATGGAATGCAAATGAAAAAAATACTAGAAAATTCTGAAACAAAGTGAAAATATTTAAATGGAATGGGATGACATGAGGTACAGTGAAAGGTTTCAAAACTGGCTGAGATGACACATACTGAAATCTGAAAATCAAGGAACAAAGTGAACCACGGAGACAGAAAAAGAATTATGATGAAATTTGCTCAGATGAGCAGCAGATGGGTGGTAGCAAGGAGCAGGGTGTGGAGGGAGCAATGTTGGGGTATAGCTATGGTCCACTTGGCAGGACTTTTACAGTTGCAGTGGCTCTGGAGCTCTGGGCTTTGTGTTTTTCTCAACCCTAACCCTGAGCAGAGCAGTAAAATCAGCCTTTTCCAAAGCTGAGGTGCCCAGCCCATGGGTGATGCCAAGGAGAAGAGTATGGAGGGAGCAGTGGGGGTGCAGTGCACTGGGGGCTTTTTGCAGTGAAATGGATTGGAACATGCTGAAATGATACTCATTGAACTCGCTTGATTCCTTTTCCTTTAATGAAAGGAAATGAAATCTCCAAACCAGAGAAGGAAGGTAACCAAACACACAGAAGAGGAGGTAGAATGAAATGAAAAACAATTGAAAGAAAACCCTAAAATTCTGAAACAAATTCTTAAATTCCTTTTAAGGGGAATGGGATGACGTGAGTTGCACTGAAAAGTTCCAAAACTTTTCTAAATGATACTCATTGAATTCTCCATATCAGAGAGAAAGTGAGCTGAACACACAGGAGAGGAATTACAATAAAATGAAATGCAATCAAAAAAAAAAAAAATTGTCTGAAATTAAATGAAAACAACAATTAAATTGAATGGGTTGACATGAAGTGCAGTGAAATGGACTGAAACTTGCTGAAATGTTACTCACTAAAATCACAAGATTTCATTTCCTTTCATTAAATAATGCTGGGAGCAAGTGAAATTGAGGCCATCATTTAAACTACTTGAGTAAATATTTTTTTTATGTTAGTGCCTTGGAGATCTAACTCTGGGGATTATGTCACAGGATAAATTTTCTCAAATAATATCTTCAAGACCTCTCAGTTATTTCCATGGTGATCTTGCTCCAGCTCAGCACTGACATTTCCCAAAGCATTTTATAATCATATTTTTGAGGGTATTAAATCTACCTGAGTTTGCCTTCATACAGAACTTTTTGTAGGAAACCAGACAGGCAGTTTGTACTGGGACGTGTTTTGAAGTTCAGATATGAAGTCAACCAACCTTTTTTGACAGAAGCTTGGATACTTTTGGGCTAGAGCAAATTCAATTTACCTTGTTTTGAATAAATGTGTGATGTTTTTCTGCACTTCCAGAAAAAGGCTTCTATCTCATCTTGTTTCTGCATGAGAGACAAGCTCATCCCCAGAAGTCCTCCGAGTTGGTCATCAGGCTTGTCTTCTTAGAGGGTTGTACTGAGGAAGCAGATTTCGGCCTTTGCTGTGCTGCAGAATCAAGTAGTCAGGAATTTAAGTGCTTGTAAATGGAGCTTTTGGAGAGAAAGATTGTAGCACTGCAGTAGGGATGTATGGGCTAAATTTAGCCACTAAAATCAACAGTAAAAAGTACAGCCTTCTGCAAGCTGGAATGATTCAATTTGACCAAACATAAAATTGTTCCCTTATTAAGTTAATAGTATCTCCCAACACAAAGGCTCCTAACTGACCCTGGCCCTAAAACTGCCTTGGGGAGCCAAGAAGCCAAGAGATTGCAGCCAGGTGTTTCATAAAGCCAAGGCTCTTAACGTTGCTTTTGCACTGGCAAGGAGCAAAACAGCCAGCCCTCTGGAAACACACTAGCAGGTGTCCCTGGTCCCCTCTCTCCTAAAACTGTGTTCTTGTTCCATTTTATCCCCTTTGAGACAGGGTTGTAATTAAAATAGTTCGTTTCAAGTGCAGGTCCTGAAACATTGCCCCTGCTAAGGCAATTTGAAAGGAGAAGGGACCAGTCCTAAGACTTACCCAAAGACAAGGTTGAGAGTTTCTGATGGTGAACTCAAAAACAAGGCCATTTCTGTGTGCTGGATTATGGCACAGGATGTGTTTTGTGTATGTAAGCTACTGGGGTTTTTTTTCAGAGCATTTGTCCTCCTCTGCACTAAGAATGTGTTTTATGACAAAACATAATAAAGTTGGACTGGCTGTAGGTGCCCCACCTTGGGCTGCTGGGCTAAGTGTAGATTCCACTGGGGGCTAATTGAGAGTGTGCTGGCAGTGGCCTGGGTGCCTCCCCGCTGCAGTGCTGTGCTGCATGTACACACTGAGCGTGGGGGTACCGAGTGACTGACTGCCTGGCAAGCCTCAGGGCCCTGAGTGCACTGTCCTTGTCCCCTTAGCATCGCAGAGCAGAATTCCTGACACTGCTGCTAAGCCTCCGCTTCCTTCCCGGTTCCTAACCAAGCTTCAAAAATATCATCGAGTGGGTGAAGCTGTACTGGAGAGTGTCTTTATGGGAATCATCTAACATTAGCCCTGAAGAGGGGACAGACTAACCATTTCAGGCTCTTCCTCCCTCATGCTTTTCTACTCCTCCTCCCTCTAGCTCCTTTCCTATTCCTATCATAAGTTTTTCTTATGCTGTCGGGTTTTTCCATCACTGAGAGTGCTTGGCACGCACAGCTTTAAAGCGTGGTTCCAACCATCACTGATTTGCAAGCTTTTGTTTCAGCTCAGTAATACTTGTATGCCATTTTCTGTCTGAGCATCTGATTCTGCATCATATCAAAGAAGCACCACAGAGCCCACCGGGGAATGGAAAATTTTAGGATCCCTTCTAAAAGGAAAAAAATTGAGTCACACTGAAGGAAGTATTTAAGCTTCATTAGAGGTGGCAGACTTGGGAACAAGAGCCCAGAGTCCTGCTTAACCTTCTGTTTGCTGATGGTTCTTGCCTGGGTCCGTTCCGTGTGATCCCTGCAGTTTAGATCTCAGGCACTGTAACATGAGGTTATTCAGATTTGGATTTGCCTTGGAGCTTCCTTTAACCATGGGTTTGTTACTCTGACGGGTGGCCATCAGCTGAAAGCTGATGTGACGGGTCTGTCGGTACTCTTTCATAGCCATAGAAATCAGGGTATTGATAGAAAAAGCAGCGCGGTGAGACGCAGAAAGCTGAAGTACCGCTGTGGCAGTCCGGGATCCGTCGGGTGCCGCGGGGCAGGAGAGGGATGCCCTGGAGGTTAAGGGGAGAGGAGGCGAGAGGGGGCGATGGGGCCCGAGCGCGATGGCTCCCCCGCCCCGGGCTCTACCCGAGTCCCGCTGCGAGGGGACGCGGCGGGCGGGGGCGGCGGTGCGGGGGGACACGTCATGCGGAAAGGAGAGCCCGGCCGGCCGCGAGTGGGCTCCGCTGCGGCCCGAGCGCGCTGCCGTCTGAGCATGCTCCCGCGGGGCTCCGCCGGCTATATAACGGGGCCGGGGTGCCGGCGGCAGCGGCTCTGCTGAGGCAGCGGAGGAGCACCGCTCCACGCCGCGCTCCGCTCCCCGCCGAACTGCGCCTCTCCGCGCCTCTCTGCACCGCGCTCCGCTCCCCGCCGAACTGCGCTTCTCCTCTCCGCACGGTACCGCAGCGCGCCTCTCCGCTCCGCTCGCCGCCGAACTGCGCCTCTCCGCTCCGCTCCCCGCCGAACTGCGCCTCTCCGCTCCGCTCCGCGCTCCGCTCCGCTCCGAGCGTCTCTCCGGACAGCGGCGCTCCGCGCTGCCCCTCGCCGTGCCGCACCGCCCCGCGGGGCCCGTCCCTCCGCCGCCGCCGCCCGCCGGAGCAGCGGCGCCCGGCACGGCCGAGGCAGCGAGCCCCGCTCCGCCGGCCCCGGCCCCCGCGGCGGGCGCTCCCGCGGGCGGCAGGATGGCCGCGAAGCCGGCCGAGCTGATGGGCATCTGCTCCAGCTACCAGGCGGTGATGCCGCACTTCGTCTGCGTGGCCGAGGAGTTCCCGCCGCCCGCCCGCCCCGCCAAGACCCCCAAGGGCAAGCTGCGGCGGCCGCGGCAGTCGCGCTTCAAGACGCAGCCGGTGACTTTCGACGAGATCCAGGAGGTGGAGGAGGAGGGGGTGTCCCCCATGGAGGAAGAGAAAGCCAAGAAATCTTTTCTGCAGTCGCTGGAGTGCCTGCGGCGGAGCACCCAGAACCTCTGTCTGCAGCGGGACCGCCTGGGCAGCTGCCGCCTCCGCAACAGCCTCGACTCCAGCGACTCGGACTCGGCCCTCTGAGGGCGGCGGGGCTCGGCGGGACCCGGCCCGGCACGGACTGAGCTGCGGGGAGCCGCGCCGCCGCCGGCACAGGAGAGCCCGGACGGGCAGCCGGGTCGGGATGTTTTCTAAGAAAGCGCTTGTACCTTCGTTTCTATTTGATTGTATGAAACTCACCATTTAAAAGACCAAAAAAAAAAAAAAAAAATCTTTTCTATTCGTTAGAAGAAATGAGCTGTTTTAGATGCATTGAGCTGCTGGACTTTATATTTATTTTTGCATTTAAAATGTTGACTGCATTAATTTAATATGTTTCTACCTGAATGTCTGTTATTATTTCCATAAAAAAGTAATAAATCTGATATATTTGCACAGTACTTACTGGGCTGTCCTTATTTCAGGGATCTAGCTGTCCTTGTTCAGCTTTGAGGGGTAAAGGGGTTTAAAAGCCGTCAGTAGCAAGTGCAGAGCCAACAATGTTTTCCTCAGGGATGCTGCTCAGAGAGGTTTTGTAGGCTGTAGTGTCAAGTATAAACTAATGAGGCAAAAGTCGAGTTAGACTGATTTTAAACTGCTTTATTTACTTCTTTGAGATCTCTGTGTTAACCTGAATTGAGGTTTAAAGAGCATTTCTAACTGGTGTCCAAGAACCTTATTGCAACTGGACAAGCCTCTTGCATTCATAAAAATGCATATGTAGATTCTATTTTCATTCAAGTTGGTTGTGTCTCTTCTTCCCTTCCCCTTCTGCCCCATAAATTATTTAGTGCTGCAGACAGTTTTGGTAATTGGTTAGAATGCAATTTTATTTACTACAGCAATTGATGCTATGTGGACATGCTTTTCTTGGAGTTTAAAATAAGGGGATTTTGATAATGGTAAATTTGTAGGAGTGAGGCTTCTGTTGGGCTGCTGCACGTGTGTGTTTGCAGGTGCATGTAAGATTTTCTGTGTTTGTGGGGTATATGCTGAAGTGCAGCTGAAGCTCTCTGCAGAATGGAAACCAAATTCCTGGACTGAGAATATTCCACCTGTATTTTCTCCATTTTCTTGAAACATTTATGTGCTAATATAGTGTAATCCTGTGGTAGCACCTTCCTTCAAGGCAAGCCTCTGGCAATTAAAACTTTCCAATCAGTAGGTATTAGCTGATACTGAGCTGTAGCTAATATTCCTCTGGGATGATTTTCAGGGGACTTAGGGCATTTCTAACATCGTGGTTTGAGGTGCAATCATACTGGTCAGTATGGAGAGGTAAGGGCTGGGGCAGAGGAAGAAGACAGACATGGTGCTGGTGAACAGGGTGTTGAGATAGGATTGAGAACCACAGACTTCTACCCTCTGGGCACAAGTACAGCAGAAGACCTATGCAACTGGCTCCTGGCTACAGCGAAACTGAAGCTTGTCTCTTTCTAGCTTAAAGCTGAGGAAAATCCGGGGGACATGGGGTGTGACTTGTTTTTGGACAGGTCCTTCACAGCTCCCTTGCAGCACCAGCACCTCCAGCTGGCCTCCGGCACCAGGGGAGGGTTGTGCAAGCAATTCAGCAGGTAAGGAAACAGGTCTGGACCCTGACCCAACCTCCTCATACAAAAAAGCATTTAAATGACCCCCACATGTCTCCTTGCATGCAGCCTGTGAAACAGCTTTTCTCCCTTTGCAGTTACACCCTCATGGCTGCTTTCTCTGCATGATACACACATACATGACATCTATGCACAAAGCAAAGCAACTTGACTTCCAGAAAAACAGGCAGGCAAACTGGAATCTGTAAGGCATAATCAGTTACCAGCAGCTGGGCTAATTTTCCTCAATAAATTCTTTACAGTGCTTCAATTCTGGGAGTTCTGAGTTTGGGAAAGGGTTTGCAGATGTTGCATCTTTCCCAAATATCATGTGGGAACTTTGTAGCCATGTGCCTCTATGTTGCATAATGCACACAGCTAATAAGCTCCATAATATTTCCAGAGATTATATAGCATCCTTCCCATGCTGCAGGTTTTAGGCTACTTTTCAGTTTCCCTTTGCTTTCAGGTCTGGTACAAATCCCTGTGATACACAAAGTGTGGGCTAGCTTCAAGAGGCTGTGAGCACATGATCCTTGTCCCCACTCCTAAGTTTTCTTTAGCATCTGGGGTTGCTAGCAGGCCCTTTACCATGGCTATTGCCACCCCTCCTTCAGCGTGCAGCTGTGCTGCTGCCACCATGCAGGAGGCACACGAGGCACAAGAGGCTGTGCTGCACCAGCCAGCAGAGGAGCATTGGATGCTCGCTCCCTGGAAGGGTGAGAATAGACATGGTCTCTTTTCTGTTCCAAGAGACAAATGTAGATGTTAACACATCTACAAAGAGTATTTGAAAATCTGCTGTAACGTGTTTGAGGAAAATGTCATATTCCAGTGGTTAGGCTGAATAAATGAGTTTCTCTTCAACTGTGCTTTGTTGACATTTTTCTGTTCCATTTCAGAGTGAATAACATGGGAGATACCAATGCTAAAGATAGGCTAGTGTTTATCTTCCAGACAGTTGCAATCAAGGCAAAAGGGTGAAAAGCCAGGGTGATTTAGCTATGTCCTGGAGAAGCCTTCCTGAATGCAGCTGGAAAAATAAACCTCCCTCCCAGTCTTCCTGTGCTGCTAATTTTGAAGGTCTCTAGTGCAGTACTTTTCAGCGTCTTGACTATCATGTCTATCTGTCCTGTAAGGATTGCAGGAAGTCTTGTTAAATTCACTTTAGTGAGGGTAATGACTGTATCAAAGGGGTTTGAGTCTGTCATCTGCTCCCTAGGCTTGGGATGTGGGTTGTACATTTCCTTTCAGCAATTCACAGCTTAAAAGCATCCAACAGATGCCACTTACAGTGATGCTCAGCATGGCAGTGAGTAGGCATGAACATTCCATGTCTGCACAGGAAGGAGCTGGAAGTCAAATTCTCATGGTGCAGCAGGATGTGTCTCAGGGCAGAGCTGAAACTGAGCACCCCAAGAGTGTCTTCAACACTATTTTGCCAAATTACAGGAAATCACACAGGAGAATTTGTCCTTATTGGGACTGCCTGTTATTCTCATATCACTTTATGTGTAAATCATTCTGTCCTCGTGGCAAGAGGTTCATCAAGTCAGTAGAAACTTGAAGTTGAAAGCAATTATTTTATTCTCTTCCTGTTTTGTGTCCAGTCCCCTCCATGCCTGACAGCATTTCTCCCCTGTGTTTGTTTTTAAATGCTGTGTTGTTGTAAAGCTCATCATGGTGGTGTGGTGGATCTGTACCTCCATGCCTTATTTTGGCCTGATCAGTGTAGAGGGGATCTGTGAACAGTGCAGTATCATTGCTCTACCAGAATCAGGGAAAAAAAACCCTCTCTGTTCATCTTATGAGAAATATTTCTCTGTTCTTTTTGCAAATGTTTTAGCTAAGTTTGCCCAGTAGTTAATGGAGGATTTCTGGGTGCAATTTAGCATCCACCTCAAGAGGCTGAGGACAATCTCTTCTCCTAGCTCTGTATGCACCCGTTCTGGTCTTGCATAACTTCTCTCACCCCTGGGCTTCCATTAATTCACTGGCAACACTTCAGAGTGGAGCTGTTGTCAGGAGCAAGTATGGAGAAGGTGCTTGCAATTTCTGCAGGTTTTTGTGCTGGGATCCTGAAAATGCATTTGCTTTAGGAGCTGGTTAATGATGACCCTTACCAGTGCTGGGGATCTGACGCTGCAGGAGCACAGTGGACAGACTGGAACACTGCTGTTAGTAAGAAGCACCAGACTGCTGTTATTTAACCTCCAAAGTGACAGCAGAGCCACGGGACAAAACACAAACCGAGGCATCCATTTATTTGTCAAGCTGACAGCAAACAAATTGCAGTGTAAGAGAGGCTGATGAGTGAGCTCTAGCAAATCTGGTTGCTGTGGTTTCTCAAATGTCAGCAGTGCCAGCAGTTTTCTTGGCTGCCCTCCATGAGGTTTGGCTCCCTGGCAGCGTGCATGGACCTCAGCCTTCAAGCCCCTGGTCTGAGGCTTTTGAGCCACCACCAGAGAGACCAGCCTGGTTCTCCAGGCTGCACTGAGCCTTGTTTGAACCTCAGCTCCCATAGTGTGGCTCAGCCTGGGCTGTCTTTTGTACACTGGACTTGCATTTCTGTGGGGAAAAAGCCCCACTGCAGCAGATAAGCAGATAAGGTGCAGATAACCCGAGATCCCTGAGCAGAGCTCAGACTGTTTGTGCAGTGATGGTGCCCTGGATTTCGAGTTTGGCTTTTCCAAGCCATCTTAAATAGTGTGTGCAAGCTGGGAGCAGTGTTTCAGCAAGGCCGGCTCCTAACTTTAGGGAATTTTTTTAAGCTGTAAAGATGCAAGATGACATGCTGAGCAGAAAATAATTGGGTGTCCAGTAACAACACAGCAAGAGGATCTCATTTCTCCTGAAGCAGGAGGCCAGTACACAGGACAGGGAGGTCAACCCAGAGGACTTCATCAAGTAGTACGTAGTCTCCTTGAGTCACCTGAAGTCAGGTGACTGAATTCGGAAGAATTCATTCATTATGGGAATGAATTAATTCTCAAGCAGCATCTTGCCACATGTATGTGTGTGTGTGTTTGTGTGTGTGTGTGTGTGTGTGTCCCTGTTCCTGGTCTGTGTAGTCTGGAGTGAGTGCTGCTAGTAGCAGAGAAGGCCAGCCTTTGACTGTACGACAAAGCACTTCCAGATATTTAATTGGCACTGGAATTACTTAATGGGTAGCAGGGTAGAAGGAAATACTTCCTGCAAAACCAAGAGCTGTGAAATCAGAGATCAGAAATGGTTTCTTGTGCCAGAGTATTAGCTTTAAGGCTATTAAATGTGTAGACTTTGTAATTATGCATTTGTGACTTCTGTGTTAGTAAATGTAATGGTATGTTACAAATAGCTTAGGGATGGATCCTGACTTTGTCTGCACTGGTGTCAGATTGGCTTTGGTTCAGCTGTACTCAGGAATCAATCTGGATTTGCTCCTTGTTGCATTCATACTATTTGCTGATGTTGCTGAGCATGTTTCTGGACTGGTGTGAAATGTCCAAGACACTTCTCCCCTGCTCCATCATGCCCAGGATGATCTGAGGTTTCACACAACCTTACACAACTTTAACCATTCTTGTGTTTTGGGAACAGTGTGAACGATGCATGTGCACTTGGCTGGGACATCTGTTCCCTTCACCCACATGGACTGGGAGCC